GTATTCAACACTTATTTTACCCGCTGTATGTATTATTATAACCAACAAGACAAATTAAGTTATATATATGGATTTAATTAAGGTAACAGAATGATCCAGGTATCAAAATGTAGCTTTTAAAGCCAAGAATCTGAAAATGTAATTAGGTCATTTTGACCAAATTTGACTTAATCCTCATTTCGATATGATTGGTCACATATTTGAGTCTATAWGGGTAATTTTGACCCTGTGTTGAGCAGAGACAATTTACGGTAAATTCAAACTTGTGCGCCCATTACTTTTTTTAAATACCTGAAATTATTTGTTGAATAATTTTTCTAGCTTGAACAAAGAAAGGATCAAATCAGTCAAATTAACATGACGTCCATGTCCATAAYGGAAGATGTAAACATCTGGTGGCAATGTAAACAAGTAAACAACTGGTGGTAAAGACACAGCTAGAGCTCTACTCTGTACTAAGACCTTCAGACATAGCAAGAGACCATAATGGGGTTTTCGTCTGAAAGTGCTTTTATGCAGAAATATAAAATATTCACCAGACTCTTGTCTGAGAGGAGAACTCTTTTCTACATTGCTTTTAGATATCTTGGAGCATTATCTCCAATAAACGTCTGATCATTTTATAAGACTCCCATCGATCCTGGCCAGGACACAATCTGGACACTTCTCAGTACAGCTGTTTTCAAACACTTACCTAATCAACATAATAAACGGGACAACCAGCATGATGAGGAGTGTGATCCGAGGGGACAGACCAGCTTGGATCAGAGCTGAATAAAGGAAAGCACCAACAACACCAGCCCCACCGGTGCCTGAGCCCCAGCCTTCCAGGACATTCCTGCGGAGGATGAGGGGGGGGCAGCGTTAACAACCCAAGATAAGACAGAACACACCTCTGACTAGGGGTGTAACACATCAATATATCCATCGACTGTTTAATGAATCAATTAGGTCAGTGCAAAATGAAAACATTGATCCATTTCATCATTCTATGCTGATGTGGATCAATATCATGTACCCATCTAAGTCCCTTCATATTGATTGCAGACTTGTGAATTGATTTGGAATCATATCATGACAGACTTTGTGATATGGAGAAATATTGTATCGTCATCCAAACAAAACGATATACCTTATTGTGAATAAAGCTGATTTACACACCTACACCTGACCCACATTCAGAACAGACTCTTTCAGAACAGGAATSTAGAGTAACAAATCTGTCATTCATTTTAATTTGATGGCATAATATAGTTTACTTTATTTATGACAATTGTACTATTTACAAAGAGTTATTCATTTATAGCTTTTTTTAATTTAATGTGAAATAACAGGCATTAACTCCATCCATTTTATTTTATTTCTGAATGTGTTTAACATGCATGGTCTCTGTGGTGACGTACTGATGGACTGGAGACCTCACTGGGGTTCCAGACTACACAAAGGTGTTGTAGTGATGAAACACATTTCCCATAACCCTTCCAAGTGTTTTCCAAGGCTCCCCATTGGTGCCAGGTATGCACCCTCATATATGTACCCAATAAGTACCAGCAAAGTACCAGCTACATACTGAGCAGTATTATGTTTGTTAGCAAGTTATGCTGCGTAATAAGGTTCAGACCAAACCCTGAAGGAGTGACTATTGATTAAAACAAATAGAGAGTGAGGAGTGGATGAGAAACTGAAAAGAATTAAAGTTTACCTGTTGAAGAAGACACTGAGAGAGAGGAAGGACAGTTCTCCCAGTCCTGAGCTTAAACTGGCAAAAACCACTCCTGCAAAAACAAGTCACAGAAAGTCTGAATGTTTCACTTTCCTCATGGTCTTCTTTTTAAAGATCACATAGTTTAACTATAAGTTATGTAATTCAGACACCATATTTCACGACTAAAGTTTTTTTTCTTAAAAAGCCCAAATAGCTTTGTTAGGATCGTACTTCTGTTTGTGAAACTTTAGTTTCTAGTTTATGATGATGTTTATGTTCCTGATTCAGTCTACCTCGTCTCTTCTACCTGATCCTGTTTTCTCTGCTCAGCTGGATTCAGTTGGTTTGTTAGTCTTTATATTTCTGGTGTGTGGGTTTATTCAGTTACTTTGTGTTTGTGTCTAATCCCCAGGAGTTCTGTGTTGCAGAGTTTGCTGCCTCARCAGCATTTTGGTTTATTAATTAAAGTGCGTTTGTGTTTTCAGGTCTGAGTCAAAACCTTACTGTCCACACTTTGGGTCACTACTAGATGTAAATATGACAGCTTGTTACAGAAATTCGGTAACGCTTTCTTTTATGGTACCCTTATTAACATGTAATTACAAGGTAATTAAAATGGTAACCTTTTAAACCATGTAATTACGTGGTAATTAGGGTACAATTTTACTATGTAATTTAATTGTCTGCAGTAATGTAGCACTTACCTGGTAATGTATTACAATTCACTMTGTAACACCTAAATAAGTAGTAGGTAATTTGGACAGTTTTAAAGTTAAATTTTATTGCAATTAACCACTAACCCCAAAATTTAGTTGCATTCTTTTGGTTATAAATATAGTGTTGAGTTACTATTGAATAGTAATTTGATTGTACTTACCCAATAAAGGTAGTTTTACTAACAGTAATTTTTCTTTTGTACCCTAATTACCAAGTAATTACATGGTAAGGTAGTAATTACATTTAATTACCATTTTTATTACCTTGTAATTACATGGTAATAAGGGTACTGTAAAAGAAAGCCTTACCAGAGATACTTTGATGTTCTGCCTTTAAAATCATTATTATAAAATACTAAAATGTTCAGTTTTTGATTTGAATTTTTTGCATTTGTGTATCATCTATGATAAAAAATAAYCACTAAATATGCATCTTTCGCTATCGAAAGTCTGTCAAATAATATGTCTAAATGTGTAAAATCAGCTGTTCTGTTTCCAATAACTGCACKTCTTTAGTTTACATTCAAACACTGACAAGTCCACTTCATGCAGTGTTGGTGTGTGACAGATATTTGCTAAAATAATCCCCAGATGTAAACAGAGTTGGAGGGAGAACGATGGCATCAGGGACTCAAATTAGCAGAAAGAAGCTAAAAGCTAAAATTAGCAAAACTGCAACTAGGACTAGTACTAAAACTAGTCAATTAAAATMTCATACTACTAAAACAGCTGCTTTAAGCTGAGTTAATCAAAACAGTGGTTAAAAGCAAAACAGCAGTAAAAGTTAAAATGACCAAAATAAAAGCTAGAAGCAAAAAGCAAAAAATAAAGCCAGTAYGCTGCACTAGATTTAAAAGAACAATTTCTGTCGTATGACAGATTCTCTAATAGTTTCAGGGGCAAAGAAATGTAAATAAAGTTTAATTATTTAATTTGTTCATAAAAAGTAAGTTTCTTAAAAGGAAAGAAGTAGCTGAGTGAACAGAACATTCTGATGTTTTGATAAAACAACTGAAGTTAAGTTTAATCAAGTTTTTTTTTTTAAAAAAAAGCACGAAAGAAAAAGATTAACAGGAAAATAATTATCTGAGCTTGAAATAGAACATTATCAGTCTCATCACACATTCAGCCACATCTTTGGTATAAAACTAAATCAGCCCTGACTTCCTGTGGACCGAACCGCAGATGAAAGAGGAAGTGAAACCCACTATCTGACTTCTCCTGCAGAGTTCGTTTGAACCCGAATACTGGTTCAAGTTATATCAAGCTAGAAACAAGAGATAAGAGCGGGTACCAGTAATACTCATCCACACAGCAGAGGAGAAGGACACCAGGAGGAAACTGGTCACTGCCAAAGTGGCACACRCCAACACTCGAAAACTGGGAAGAAAAAGAGAAACTGGTTAAAGTTTTTAAAAGTTACAAAGTTTAAACTTGYTCTTTAAACAACAATAATCAGGTTGTTCAGCAAGTCTCTGCCTCACACATGTAAACATATACATCAAAACACAATTAGTATTTTGGGTATTTTAAATAATTTAACTCCTTGGAGAAAGGCAAATCTCCCACTGCCTCTTTTGGCTGTTTTTGGAGAACWTGTTGGGAAAGACTTGTAGCTACTGCTGCATCCGATTTTCATTCAAGATCAACAGAGTCAGTAAGTTTTGTCTTTGCTCGTGTGAATTAGCTGAGGAGGCCATGTTTAACTGGGGTGAGCCCAAAAAAACCCTCAGTTCCAGAAGAGTTGGGATGATGTGTGAAAAGAAATGGGACAAATAGTAAACAGCTGGAGCAGACTCTTTCCTACCACTGTTTTTTGAGATTTTTATTTTAAAAAATTTTTTGCTTCAGAATTATACAATTTTCTTTTTTAAAAAAATAAGGCTGTGAAATTAATCGAGTTAACTCTGAATAATTTTAGTGTTACATGGGCATAGATTAAAATTTTTGATCGCGATTAAAATTTACAATCACTTTACTATGGCTGAATATGTAGGTGTTTATATGGCAATGTACTCAGTTCATGTCAGGTCATGTTTGTAAATGAGAAGTGGTTCTCAAACAGTTTACCTGGATAAATAAATAATATTAAAAAAAACTCCATTGTAACACATTATGTACAGTTTTTTTTCTTTTTGTCTTCTTATGGCTTATTTTATTTATTTATGTTTTGCTGACAACTGTGACATAGTATCTATCTTTCATTCCTCATGTAGTACTATGGTATGTAGTAATAATAACAAGTAATTTGTTTTACCAATAGGCAATAAAGTTTTATATTAAGTTTAAGATTAATCGTGATTAATTCACAGCTACCTTGGAATTAATAAATTAAAATTTTTAATAAATTGACAGCCATGCTGTCATAATCATATATTTGATAGGTTTACCATGTTCCACAAATGAAATATGTGTTAATTTGATTTTCAAATAATTCTGGGTTTATTTACATTTTAAACAAGACGCCAGCTTTGTGAAATTTGGGGTTGTCGATTTAGTTTCATCCRTTCCTCAGAGATTCTTTAAAATCCATCCAGTGGTTTCTAGGATATTTTGCTAACAGGTTAGCACCATTGGTTAATGCCAAAATACTAAACAGAAATGTTGTGCAATTTGTAGCACATGCAGTATGTTTTTTTTAATTACTCCACTCACAGCCACACCTCATTTGACATCAGTTGGATGTGGCGAMCACTGTGAACCGGGTTCAAAGATAAATCGGATGAAGATGTGCATTCAGTGATTCATTTCTAAAAGTCATTACCCTTTCCCCTTTGGCAGCAGGCAAAACAAATTWAAGAGTAGTTTCAAATAATTAGATCCAGCCGGGATGATGAAACAAAATATTTTCACAGAAAGAAAACCATGTTGTGTTTTTTGCTTTCATTGTTCTTACAAATCCCCAGCTTGAAGGTAAAAACAGGATTTAATGTAATAAGGATTTTTTTTGTCTCACCCATAAGGCATTTTGTGGATCACAAAGGGAGCCAAAAGYTTGATGAACAGCGTCGGAACGACGTCCGCTAACAGAACAGCCTGCAAACACACACCAGAGTTGCATTTTTAAATACTTCAAACGTACAGAAAACCYTGGCACAGTGCAGGATGGGAGGCTCCTTAGTGAGTAAACTCATTTATTTTGATTTTATGCACACCAAGCTGTGCACCACTAAAAACATCATCCTGTCATCACAGCATAATTACTGCTCAGTGGTTCAAGTCAGTGACTTCCTGTTATTATTTATTTTGCTATTAAACTATAATTTCAGTGTTGTACGTCTGGTTGCCTCTGTGTTTACAGTTTGTCAATAAACACATGAAAGTTTRAAAAGCCTCAGCTCCATCCAGCTGCAGCTTCATTTAGTGGGTCGTCCATGGAAGTGGTGTCTGCAGTGACCAGTCGAGAGGAGAGTCGCACATTCAGGGCACGTTTGTATCTAACTGCGTGTTTGAAGGTACGTCAAAGTGTGTCACTCAAATCCACATTGATTGGGACGAACAAAGGAAATGTGCCTGGGTTCATGCAAACACATGGATTTGTTCCTGTGTGTGTGCCAGGCTTCAGCAGGAAGTCTGTGAGTTTTGTCTTTTACTGTTTTTTTTTTTTGTTTTTTTTTTTTCTGTTTGTTTCTTTTTCTGTTCAGTATATTTAATTTGCCTGTTGTGGCTCCCTGCTTGTTTATCTCTGCTGTTTCAGTGTTTCCTGTCAATTCAGTACTTTTCCAGTCTATCAACCACTCTCACCTGTTACCAYTTCCTAATTAGCCCTGCTGCCTCCCTGATCTCATCAGCCTCTTCCTTTAGATTCAGTCTCATTACCCATCAGTTCTSCAATGTCTTCCACTCCCTGGTGTCTCTCCTCAAACCCTCCTGAGAGTCTGTACATTTTGTCGACTAAAAGCCTTTTATTTTTACAATAAATAATTTTAGTTCCTGGTTTCTTTGAGTCTGTCTGCTTTTTGGCTCTGAGCCTTCATCTCCCTCAAATGTACAGGTGGGCCCATTTAGATTGTCAAAGTACCTTAGTACTGAAAGTGGGTGGACTTAYTTCTCATGACTGAACATTTCAAGTAAAAACAAACCCCAATGGGAGACACATGGACACCATCAGTCAGCTGTTTCTGAACAAGGTCAAATATTTAGGGGAAATTACGGCGGTTAAAATAAGTATTGAACACCTCACCATTTTTCTCAGTAAATATATTACTAGAGGTGCTAATGACATGAAA